TGTTCACACCTGACAACGATGCGCACGATCATTGTCACTATCCGATAGGCAATCCGTTCAACTTGCGGTTCGACACGCAGATGCTAGTATTGTGTCACAATGCGAGTATCCTGCAAGAATGGTATTCGATCAACGGCAAGACCACGAAGATCTTCGATATTGCAAAATGGGAAAATGACAGATTCATTCCCTTGACAAAACTAGCTTTTTACGATCGCAGAAACGATTTGAACGGGACTGTTTTGCGAACCGTAACCATCAAAGTGCGAAAAAGCAATTTATTAAGTAAAATAAGTAACAGATAAGAAATATTAGAAAATGTACAGTTTGTTCATACACAGAAAGTAATAATATTTTTTTAATATTGTTATATACTAAGCTGTGTAAAACATTTCTGTTAAGTTTATACTTGTGTTAAAAAGTAAAATTAATTGATACTCATAAATATATATATGTAATTTTAAATACAAATATTCTATATGTAAAACTTGATTTGATCGAGTTTTTAGGACATGCCGATGTCGAGCAAGTACGCCGGAAAAGTTGACATTTTTATAACCAAATTGTTCGAAAAAGTATTGGAGGAGCTTACGCAAACTCTCAATTTTACTCTGGATATCGTGTCTGACATGGACGAGCATGGAGTATGGAATTATCAAAATGAAACCTGGTCTGGGGTGATGGGTGAAATTGTGTCGGGACGCGCGGATATCGCCGTTGCAGTTATGGCGTTGTCGAGTCTCCGATTGCGCGATGTGGATTTCACGTTTCCTCTGATAATATCTAAGGTCAGTCTCTTTTTCAAAGAGCCGGGAATGTGCGACGTCAAGTGGTTTAGTTACTTCCAGGTAGTAAATATTAATTAATGTATTTAATTAATATTATCTTCTTTCGCTTATATACTTTATATCACTTTATCTCTTAATCATATCACTTTATCTCTTTTTATATAATTTTTTTCTCAAAAGCAGAATTATTTATATTCAAACTTAATTTATTTAAATTATTAAGTTTGCAATTTCTCTTTGATTATGCAATAGACTTTCCATATATACACTTGGGCTGCGATTATTACTGTAATCGCGATTACACCGATTNTGTTGTATTTGATGAAAGTGTGCAAATCTCAAAATAGATTGCAACTGCTTTCTGACGATTTTCTCTACATTTGGGGTATCTTTTGTCAGCAAGGACTTATAGGTATTACACTATTAGAAAATTTACTATCAAGTATATAAAGTGTCACTCCTTACTTATAAGTACATAAGTGTCACATACGGGATTTTCAGTTTATTGCATAGTAACACTTAAACAGTCGTGATCCTTATGGTCACCAAATAATAAAAAAACATTTATAAGTAAAGTAAAAAGTTGAAAGAATTCCTTAACTAAGGGAAATATATAACGTTTCAAACCTGTACAAACTTTTGACTTGCTTTCTTCTAAAATTCGAGTTTTGAAATTATACGTAGGGAGTAACGAAATATGTATATATATATATATTTATATACTATAAATATGTATATTATATATATATTATAGAGCATATTATATAAATGTATTAAACTTTTAAACAATTTCTTTTAAAATGTTTCTCTATAAAATATTCTCTAACCGTTTTACAATAATACTTCTCTTCATATTTAATTGTTCAAAAGTTAAATAATTTTGTGTATATAGAAGGTTTATATAATTATATGTATAAATCTTACATTTACAAATTTGATTGTGTGCTTCAGAATTTCCAAAATGTTCGTCGATGCGAATTGCGTACTTCACGATATTTGTAACAGCAGTACTGATAATGGCGCATTATTCAGCGGCATTAGTTTGTTTTCTGACGTCGTGCACTCCCGTTCTGCCTTTTCAAACAATGGACGAATTTCTTAAAGACGGTACTTACAAATTAGTAGTTCAACGTTCTGATTACACCATGTTTTTTGTGAGTACATACATATAATAATCAATATTCCAAATATCTGTCTTTTAAACAATCGTAAATAGGGCTAGTGAATAAGACACATATTGTAATACTAAAATAGCGAAACACCAAATTATAATGTCTACCATGTAATTCAGTATGTAATTCAGATGTTCAATAAGTTTTACGTTACAAGAGAATTTTATATTTCAGACTTCAAATGAATCTTCCTCAAAAGAAATGATGAAAGTAATAATAATAGGAAATGACCTGCTGACGTCCATAGTCGACGATCTTATGCAAGTACAATCAATATTATCGTGTCAATGTATCGTAGAATTAAAAAATTTACTTGTTCACTAATTATTATTTATTCATTACACGCACTTCCTAGATATGTAACGAGAAAGTTGCTTATTTAATGCTGAACACTTTGAAGGAAAGCGTGGAGACAAAAATTCCATGTAAAGTATCTAGTATTAGCATGGAAACAGTAGATAACCTAGGAATGATTCTTTCTAAAGATAACCAATACACAGGCGTAATAAATTATCAGTACGTGTCATAAAAAATATACTCACATTGTATCATGTATATTTTGCACATGTGTGCATGTGTGATTACCCTTACAGAAATTTACTATTTATATGACCATAATAATACTTATTTTAAGTAAAAAATCACTATTAAACAGTGATTTTAATAAGTTTAGAAATCATATTAATGGTGTCTTTTTATTATTTAAAACAACTATTTTGGCCGTAATAAATTTCTGTGTTCTTTTATTTAAAATATCCTTGTATTTGTCATTTCAAGTAACAGATATTGTTTCAGTTTACAGAAATTTTTGGATAACGGCATGTTGATGCGCTTGAAAGATATGAGATCTTTTATGCAAAAAAGCGAA